ACTGTAATATCAATTAATTTACATAACTATCAAATAATACTTTTTAAAATTCTTGAATATTGATTGGTCCTCTATAGCATTTTACAAATAAAAAATATAAAAAATATGGGGCTAGTGGTTGGCCAACTTGGTAGAATGTGGTGGTGATAACAGCAAGGTCGAGTCAAGAATTCAGATCACAATATCAGTCAGCTACACACACACAAAAAAAAGATATAAAAATTATGATCAAAATATTTAATGATCATTTATTAATTCTTGGTACATAATTGATTATGCATATTTATTGGGTACAGAGTTGAATGTCAGCACCTGTGTACAATACATAATGATCAAATCAAGATAATTAGTATATTCATCTTTACAAAACATAATCAATCTTTGTGACCTGATAATTTAGTTAAAATTCACAACTAACTGTTTACTCAAAGTATCTATGATATATTAAATAGCATTTTTCAAGTCATGAAGATGTAATCACTAATTTTGGAAAAGCATTCTGAAGTCAAAAATAAAATAAGAATTAAGATTTTATAGAAGAGAATAAAGATGTCTTGGGGGGACACACACAATTGAAGAAGATCCCACTCTCATTTTTACTGGAAGAATTATGTGTCCAGCCTGCAGGGAAGGAAGAGCCTTACATTGAGGAAGAGTTTGAAGAGCTGTTCCAGGAAAATAAAAATCAGTGAAGCTCAGTTATAGAGTGTAAATGGGCGAAAAAAGTACAGAATGAAGTTGAAGAGATAAGGAGAAACTAGATCTCTTCTGCAGCAAGGTAAATTGGCAGTCATTCACCTTAATCCAGATTTAAGATATATTTTGTTTTAAGCACAAAGTATTCTTTTTTTTAAATAGGAGCCAACATTTCCAACTCTTGAGACTTCATACACACACACACACACACACACACANTGTTAGATGTTAATATTAATATTTAGAACAGTATGTCATTGAATATGAGCATCGTTTTTTTTCTTATACGTTCATAAATAGAAAAAATGTTTTTGTCTTCATTATTAGTTTATAAAATTATGTTAACTTTCTATACTTAAATGATAGTGATTATAATAACAAAATACAAGAATACATTTTATGTGCATTTTATATTTTTAATTCAACCTTGATTTTCTAATCATATGTATTTTGTTTGTTTGTTTCTTTTTTTTTTTTTCCTGCTGTTACAGTAAATGAGGGAGGTATTAAAACAGCTTCCAATTTATGTCCAGATCCAGGAGAACCAGAAAATGGGAAGAGACTTGGATCAGATTTTAGGTAATATTTTAAATTGTTTATTTTATTATTAATCTTTTTGAAGTTTATTTTAATTTATATCTTTAAAATAACTAATAATCTGGAAATGAAGACCTGTTAACTTCAAACTGGCAGCTAGATTATTATTATTATTTAAAAGTAACTGATAAATAATACATCAATTTTATCAGGATACTTTTATTGGAGTTTATATTACTAATTTCTTCTTAGGTAGTAAGCAAAAAAATCATGAGATTTAGATTTTAAAGGTAAGAGTTTGAATTCAAATTCTGCTACTTATTAGTTTTCTGGTCTTAAGTAAATTGCTTAATTCTTTCTGCCTGAGTTTCCTCTTCTGTAATATGTAAATTGAACTCATGGTGTACAATGGTAAGATTCAAATGAGATAATGCCTTTGAAACCCTCCAGCAACTGTTCTATAAACATCTTATTTGTATTTTCAGAAGTAAACACAACTTGAATATGTTTTATCTTCATCATAAAATGAGTATTTGTTTTATTAAATTGAAATTAAGATTACCAGCAACCTAGAGAATGCATATAGTATACTGTAATATCAATTAATTTACATAACTATCAAATAATACTTTTTAAAATTCTTGAATATTNATCCCATTCAGTGAAAAAAAATGAATAAATCTTTCAATAATTGAGTGCTCTGAAGAAACTGCTAAAAATGATGTACAATGGCTGAGTAAAACACAGTCATAGGAATTGGTTGAGGGCAAAGCCATTATTCTGGCTTTCAGTATTATATGTATATTATGAATTATGATTCAGTGACATGCTTAGTAATTTGCACCATTGTTTTACTTTAATAGTGGCAGAACAAATTGTTTTGTTACATACGAAATACAGAAGTGTTAATAACTTTAAACTTTTTCCATAGGTTTTTATTTTTCTATTGCAATTTTAAAAATAACAGGGACCCAAATGACACTGTCATAACTACTGGTGACTTCATTACAGCCAACAATTAATGGAAATGCTGGAACTGAGACACTGGGAATGTGCTTCTAGAGATTTTGCAATTTGATAGTAATAAAGTGTTAGATGTTAATATTAATATTTAGAACAGTATGTCATTGAATATGAGCATCGTTTTTTTTCTTATACGTTCATAAATAGAAAAAATGTTTTTGTCTTCATTATTAGTTTATAAAATTATGTTAACTTTCTATACTTAAATGATAGTGATTATAATAACAAAATACAAGAATACATTTTATGTGCATTTTATA